CAATGGGACCCAGATTTGGGGTTCTGACCCCAAACCAGCAGCATTTAGGGGCAATGGGACCCAGATTTGGGGTTCTGACCCCAAACCAGCAGCATCTAGGCACAATAGGTGCCAAAGTTGGGGTTCTGACCCCAAACCGGGGGCATTTAGGGTCAATGGGACCCAAATGTGGGCTCTGTGCCCCCAAACCCGGATGAGGCTGCAGACCCAACCTGGGTGCTTCAGCTCCTGCTGAAGGAGGACGAGGCTCCGTACCTGGAATCCATCTTGCCGGGCCCGAATCCTCCCCTCTCGCCGCCTCGTCCTCCTCGGAAGTTCCCCCTCTCTCCTCCTCTTCCTCCTCTGAACCCCCCGCGCTCAAATCCTCCTCGCCCTCCGCGCCGCTCCTCTCCGAATCCTCCGCCTCCTCCTGGGGGCACAAAGGGGGACATCAACGCCACGGAAGGGGACGCAGAGACCCGAAATGAGGGGCTGCGCTCTCTCACCCATGTGGTTCCCCCCTCGGCCTCCGCCGGGGTATTTTCCTCCCATGTGCGGCGCTCCGGGGCCGTCGGGTTTGGGCGCCTTGCATTGGTTGCATTCGTTACGCCAGGAGAAGTTCATGTTCTCGCAGGCCCTGCCGAAAGGAGGTTTTCGGGGTCGTTTTTGCCCCCGTTTCGGTTGTTTTTCACCCCAAAATGAAGAAGGCGGCGGCATCAGACTCACGGATTGGGACATTTCCAATCCCCTGCACGCTGCTGACCGCCGCCGCCGCTTGGGAAGCCGCCGCGGTTGCCGCCTCCGGAGCCGCCGCCGCCGCCGAATCCTCCGCGCCCCATGGGGCCTGGGGGAGCGAGGCGCTCGATTTGGGGTGGAAAAGGCAGGTTTTGGGGTGGGTGAAGGGATGCGGGGCTGCTCGGGCGCTCACCTCCCCTCCCGCGTCCTCCTCGACCGCCGCCGCCGCCGCGGTTGAAGTCGGCGCGCCGGGTGGCGAAGGAAACCTTGATGGGGTTGCCGGAGAATTCTTTGCCTAAAAACAGCGGGGTTTCAGCCCAAAATGAGCACAGAGGGGTCAGGCGGGGGGGGGGGGGGGGTCGTACCGTCAAACCAATCAATGGCGGCTTTGGCGGAGGGGGGGTCGTCGAAGGACACGGTGGCTTCGCCCTTCAGTTTGCCCGTCTCGCGGTCCGTGTACAGGTTGATCATGGGCTGCCCCGTCTTCTTGTTGGTCTGCGGGGAGGGACACGCTAAGGACACGCTAAGGACACGCTAAGGACATGGGGTGGTGAGGGAACACGGGGCACTGCTGCCCCCTGGTGCTGGGATCGGGGAAATGCAGGAGCACAGTGACGTACTGGGATCAGGCAACATGCTAAGGACATGCTAACATGGACAGCAGATGGACACAACACGCTAAGGACA